GTGAACTCATTCAGGCTGTGGCTTTAAATATCATGTAATATGGTGATGACTACAAATTTGTGTCTCCAGTTCCGTCTTCCCTTAACTCTGGATTATATCCAGCTGCGCACTTGACCTTTCCACTGAGTTGTGTTGAACATGACTTTTTTGAAGACTGCTGGGACCAAACAGAAATCTCCAAATCAGTTTCTCTTTTCCTAGTATTCCTTATCTCAGTCTTCACCACCCACCCAGGTTGGATCAGATAAAAAACTTACAACTTATATTTGATTTCTTTTACTCATTGTATACTTGGAAGTCCTTTTAATCCTACTTCTAAAATACAGGCTTGAAACCATCTTTGTATTCCTAGTTGTAATCCTAGTATGAGCTATAGTCTCTGGTATGTGCAGTTAGCCCATTAATAGGTCCCCTCCCCCTACAGTCTTGCACCTCTAAAAACCGTTTTTCATACAGTAGCCAGCAGTATTGTATGTCATGTCTCTTTAAAGCCCTTTCAGTGACGACCTATTGTATGTAGGCTATAAATTCCTTACCTTGGTTTACGGAACCTTGCGTGATCTGGCCTTTGTCTCTGCGGCCTCATAGAACATATTAGCCTTCCTTAACCACAGCAGTCCTAGTTCTTAATGGTTCCAAATGTGCTTCTGCTTTAGTGTCTGTATATATGGTTTGTCTCGGATTCTCTTTCCTCATGCTTACCTGGCTGACTGCTTTTCACCACAATGTTGGGTCCCATTGCACCCTCCCTCCCAGGTCTTTGCTGGCCTTCCTATCTATAATACTTCCTCTTCCAGTCACACATCACCTCTTGTAATGTCATCATAGTACTTAGCACTACGTGAAATCTTTTTGTGGTTAATTTTTCTCCTCCATTAGAATGCAAGCTCCAAGAGAGTAGGGAACCTCTTCTCTTGATCACTGTTCTACCCCAGTACCTAGAACTGTAGCAGACACAGAATAGGTAGGTACTCGATAAAAACTGACTGAATCTATTACAGATTTGAGTCGTCATAAATGGTAATTAAAGGGATGAAAGGGGATATGATAAAGCAAGACAGTGGTGGTTTTTCCATTCTCAGTGAATACTAGAATTAGCTAGGAACTTTTTTACAAGGCGAAAGATGTCTGGACTCCAATCCAAAACAATGGAATCTATGAGGCCTGGCACATTTAAAAATCAAAAGCCCCTTTTGATTCTGATGGTTTTGGAGACTGTAGAGAGAGAAGAGCCTAGGACGAAACTCTTTGAGAAATAGCAACATTTAAGAGATGATAGAAGATATGGAAGAAGATAATGACCAGTGAGGTGTCTGTGGAAACCAAGGCAAGAGTGGATTTCAAGGAGAGAAGAACTACTGGTGTCAGGTTCTCAAGCTGGCCAAGCTATATAAAGACCAGGGGCTTCCCAGAGAGCGCAGTTGGTAAAGAATCTGCCTGCAATGCAGGAGACCTGGGTTCAGTCAAACCTGGGTTTGATCCTGGGTTGGGAAGATCCCATGGAGAAGGGAAAGGCTACCCATTACAGTATTGTGGCCTGGAGAGTTCCATGGACTTATGGCCTGGCATATATAGTCCATGGGGTCGCAAAGAGCTGGACACGGACTGAGCGACTTTCACTTTCACTATAGGAAGCATTGGTTATATATAGCAACATGGAGTTGTAAATTATCTTTGCACAGGATTTCTCAACCTTGGTGCTACTCACATTTTGGGTTGGATAATTCTTCATTGTTGGGATCTCCCCTGTACTTTGTAGGAAGTTTAGCTGCATCCCTGCCCTCTATAAGACACTGGTAGCAATCTCCAGTTGTGACAACCAGATGTGTCTCTGGACATTACCAAATGACCCTGGCTGGTGGGGGCAGGGGGTGAGGAGGAATTACCCCTTTTGAGAATTGCTACCTTAGCAAGAGTGGTTTTGGTAGAAAATTGAACCCAAACTGAAGTAGGGTAATAAGTAATAGAGAAATGGAGACCGGTGACGTGAACAACGATTTAAGAACCTTGATTATGAAGGGTGATTAGAAGTGGGATGAGGTAAGAAGGGGAGGCATGTAGACCAGCGATATAGGTTTTTATTTTTAAGATGGGTGGGAATGGATCATGTTTGTGTACTACTTGGAAGGAAGTGGGGATAACTGGTATTTAAATTCCTTGAAGGAATGGCATCCAGAACACTGGAGGATTTTGCCTCAGAAGAGGAAGAGTGCCTCTTGCATGGTAATCAGAGGTAAGAATAAGTGCATATGCTGATAAAAGTAGTAACAAATGACTAACATTTATTGGGAGCTTACTATGTACCAAGCACTTAATAAGAAATCAGTGTGTGTTAACTCATTTATTCTCGTAACAATGCTATGAGGCAAAGAGGTATCGGGAAAAATACTCCCTTTGAATATGAAATCACAGGAGAGGTGAATGGTGTAAATGATTTTGATTGCTACTGGAAGGGGCTTTCAGAAGATGCATTGAGGAACAGAGACTCTGAAAGTTTAAGCAACTTACCCAGTATCACATCTCTAGTTAAGTTACAGAGATCAGATACTAACTTAGAGTGTCTGGCCTTAGTGCCTATGCTCTTAACTACTGTGTATAAGGATTCTTTTTTTTTTTTAAGGATTCTTAGAGATGTCAAGTATTTGGGGGTAATTTTCATCTGATGTGGTTTTTTTTTTTTTTGTCTCCCTGAAGAGAAATAATGGTCTACTGAGAGCTGAGGAGGTAATGTGATAGAAAGTTTGAAGAGACTGTAGGAAATGTGACAAGAACAGAGAATGCTTGAAATAACTTGTAGGAAATAGGAAAGTATTGTCACTCAGCACCCATAAAGTTGCAAGAGAACAATAAGGGCTCAGTAAGATAGGAGGCAAGTATTTTCGGGGAACCAGTCTGCAGGTGTGTGAATTCTCTCCACCATAATCAGCAACCTGGTTATAGGATCAGAGGCAATTTGATTCAGGGTTGGGAGTTTTACTAGTCAGGGAGAGAGATGCTAGTGGAAGTATGAGACTAGTGAGGAGAGTGGTTGATGGATGGGATTGGGGCTGAGTAGAAATTTATACAGTGAGAGGGGGCTGGCTAACAGAATGTAGGAGTCAAGAGCTTACGGTTATTGATTGATGAGATTCAAAGGACTGGTAGTGGGGTTAAAAAGAGCTAGATAGATGGGAGATTGGGTCAGAAAATATTACAGATGTTCATGAGTATTTTGGAGATGGAGCCATTCCTGGGGGTAATGAGGGCTAAGTGTGGCCACAGAAATGGCTAGCTGGAGTAACTGGAAGGGAAAAGGTTTTGTAGCTGAGCTTAAGGACCGAAGAGCTTAAGGAGGGTTGTCTGTAGGGATGGTGATAGCAAGACTAAGATTCAGGCAGTGAATGAGAGGAAATAGGGAAGTGGGCAGAGGGTGGGAGACCTAGTTTGAGAGCCAAGACCCTCAGGGAAACAATGACAGGACATTGTGACACTGGAAGGAATGCAGGAGGAACAACATCTGCTGTTTCAAGAGGAGGCCCGTTCAAGAGCCAGATGTCAGTTACAACACAAGAGATGGGTGAGAAATGTTTGAAGAGGTAGAGTGTAAATCTGTTTTCCCCCATTAGTGGGAGTATCTAGAGATCCCATTAGAAAGGGAGGAGAGAAAGGAGGGGCCTTACATTTTGGATGGTGTCCAAAATCAGCCCCGGCAGATCCGGACGGCTGAGAAGAGTGGGCAGTTCAGGCCTCAGAGAAGTTGCCCCAGCTTGGACTGAGCATGTTTTTAAGAACATTGGGTCTAGGTAGCTCTAGTACTGGGAAGACTGGAATGTGGATGGTCTACCAGATGGTAGACGCTGTATGCAGACCTTTGTGCTCAGTGCTGTCTTAAATCTGGTGAGGGGTGGTGGAATTAGGATGGAGGGCCTGCTGAGCAGAGACTGTGGTGTTTGGCTGAATAATGAGGACACCCCCCCCCCCCCCCCGCCCCCGCCGGAGAGATCCAGAAGTGTGGAAGAGGAAGGGTTGGAGATCTGTGGGCAGAGCTTTGCAGGAGTGGAGAGCCTGAAGTATACAGTTAAGGACTCATTTTGTACCCACAGGCTGTTAAAGTGTAAAAATGTTAGTTGCTCAGTTGTATCCAACTCTTTGTGACCATGGACTGTAGCCCACCAGGCTCCTCTGTGCATGGAATTCTCCAGGCAAGAATACTGGAGTGGGTAGCCATTCCTTTCTTCAGGGGATCTTCCTGACCCAGGGATCAAACCCCAGGCTGTTTCATTGCAGGCAGATTCTTTGCCATCTGAGCCACCAGGGAAGCCCACTTCACTTTTCACTTGAACCCACTGTTACGGCCCAGGGAAATTTAGGTTAGGATGCTCACTGGTGCAAAACTGCAGAGTGGAGAAAAGAAAAAAAGATCATTTTTCCATCTTTGGCCTTTGTACCATGCTATTAGAGGCAGTGTTGCTTATACACCAGAATAGTGATACTATTCCTTTGGTTTTTACTTAAAATTCTGTGACCCAAAGCATGAATTTATAAGTGGTAGGGCAGGTGGGCAGATAAATCTCAGTGACATACACCATTGTTGGATTCAGAATAACCGGACTGCTCTAGAACCTGGAATGTGGGGCATTAGAAGGGAGCATTTGTTTCACTTTGGCCTTTCCTGCTCAGTGGGAAGAACTTGACCTCTCATTAGACTGCTCAGTAAGATGGGAGGGTAAATGAAGGTAGCAGAGCTTTTTAAATCTCTGGTGGTCACAGGCTCACATGGCAACACTGAAGAGAGGAATAGAGAAAAGAAATCTCCACTTGAGTGCCTTCTATGGAATACAAGGCACCAGTAGGTTTTGTGTTATTCTGGCTTCCCAGGTGGCACTAGCCAGGTGGTGCTAGTGGTAAAGAACCTGTCTGCCAATGCAGGAGAAGTGAAAGATGTGGGTTTAATCCCCGGGTCGGGAAGATCTCCTGGAGGAGGGCGTGGCAACCCACTCCAATATTCTTGCATGGAGAACCCCATGGTCAGAGGAGCTTGGCAGGCTACGGTCCATAGGGTCGCAAAGAGTGGGACACAACTGAAGCGACTTTGCACATGCGCACGTAATCCTAAGAGCCCTCAGGGGTAGTATACATCATTCCCTTCATTTTGTAGGTGGGGACGGTTCAGTAACTTCTCCACAGTCGAAGATCAAGTGAGTGATGGAACCTAGGACTTGGTTTCAGATTTTTCTGACTCCAGAGTCTGGGCTTTTCCTTTTAATGGAGGACATAGCTTGTTGGGATTGGTGTGACCAGTCCTATTGGCCAAGGAAAGCTGAAGCATTTTGTAAAATGAGGGAGGCACTAAGGCACTTCTTAGAGAGTAAATAGAGTCTCTCAGAGGGAATGACCCTAAGGGAGTTGGAAAGCAGGTGTGGGGCAAGAGACAGCGGAGAGGATGGTTGGTCTTGATTAAGCCTAACTTATCTCTTGACCACCAGTAGGGAAATGGGGGTGGGGAGGGACAAGTTAGTAAGAGGAAATGGCCCAAGAGCCGAGCTCTCCAGGGTTTTCTCCCATGTCCCCCTCAGCAGCCCCCTCTGGACAGAGGCTCCGCTCTGGCTTTGTCGTCACATTCAGACAAAGGACTCGATGTAGGAAGGCAGGCTGGCCATCCAGAGCAGGTTTGCCTCGTGGAAAGGACATGTGGCTGAGAGCAAGGAAGGCCCAGCCAGGAGTGAGGAGATCTGTGTTCCAGTGCCGCTCACGATGAAGGGAACCATCATGGTAGGTAGAGTGATGCTCATTTATTCATGGAAGATAAATACTGATCATTTTCTCAGGCGGGCCTGAGAAGCACCCTTAAGGAAAGAGCAGGGACTCGACCTAAACAACTGACCTAGTTGGGGGTCTCAGCAAGGATCTGGAGCTGTTTTCTGATCCCTTGTGTCCAGGACCCCTGTGACTTGTGTTTGGGGGATATATAGAGAGAGGGTAGGAAGCCAGGGGTATCAGACCCTTTTGGGGGGTTTAGCTTTTTCTGTTGGTCTAACATGGCACTGGACTTTGTAAGAAACAAGGGGTTCAGCTCTGTAAGTTGGAAGTCTTGGATATTTGACTCTTCGGGGTTCTCAGGCTCTTTCCGGAACCTTGTGAACTCCACCTTCAGGCTGGCCTTTGGCATCTCACATACAAACAGAACCTTGTTCTTTAGCTTGTTATGGATCCAGGGATCAATGGAGGCCAAAAGAATTAATGTTTCTTGTAGCTGCATTGAAACAAAGGCCCCGTGGTTGGCTCCCTTCAGGCCAGCCCTGGGTTGGTGGGGGGGGCGGGTGGTGGTAGTTCTGGTCACAGGTCACTCTGGGTCCCAGGGAATGAGGTCAAGGGACAACGTCTAAGGGTTATTCCCCTCCCCTCCCCGCCGGCAGAGGGTGTGTGGTGTGAGGAGAGTGGGAGAGGCTGGAGGAAGAGGAGGGCTGGGATGCCTTACACTCTTCTTCACAGACGCGTTCTTCTCCACATCCAGCATGTCCAGGACCAAGTGGAACACCTGTGGGCTGCGGATCCCCAGGACGCTCTGGCAGAGGCAGGATGAGGGCACCTCAGTAGACGGCCCAGGAAGATGCCCCCATCTGCACTCTCTTCCATTCTAGTGCCCTCGTGATGACCCTGTGCCTGGACAGGAGATGTGGCTTCCCAGCTGCTTCCTTACCTTTGAGGGCCTGCCTCTGTACTGGGTTCCGGTACAATTTTTTTCACCAGAAGAGTCAAGATAGTTTCTGTCACATCTGAGCAATGCCCCTCACACCCTTCACCTGTCCCTTCTCCTACCCAGCTCCAGTCCTGCAGAAAAGCTTTCCCTGAACTCCTGGTAGGGCGGGAAGTCTAAAATAAAAAAGCTGGCAAACCACCTCCCCACACTTTGCAGCCCTTTATTCCCCTCAGTAGCTCTCCTGGACTGCCCACTCCACTGGCCATCAACACATCTGGTCAGAGTCGCGGAGCTGGCCTTACCAGAGAGACGACTGCTTCCCGCCGTTCTGTGGCATTTGAGCTCATCAGCTGCCTGAAGAGAAGGGAGTGAGTGTTTTGTGGTCCAGTTAAGGGGACGAGGAGGAAGACTGGCTGCTTCTTACAGTCCAGAGTGAGTCAGGCATAGACTGATGAGTGATGTTAATTTCCTTAATGTCCTTTTCTTGTTTCTTGGGTCAGGAAAGGGACTGGGCCGGGGGGGGGGGGGGGGTGGGAGGTCGGTACACCAGTTTTTCAAGGGTCACTATGTGATGATCAGGACTGGCATTTGTCCAGAACTTTACCTTTTACCAATCCCTTCCAAGTCCTCATCTTAACTTGAGCTTTAAATAGCAACACTGAGTGGTAGGTATTACCAGCCCCTTTTTTACAGATGAAGAAAAGCCTGGAGGTCAAAGAGTGATTTGGCCAGTGGCCTGGGCGATGCAGCTGAGAACAGGCAGTAGGTTCTTAGCTCTCACTGACCCTCTGTCCCCTTCCCACAGCCTAGGATTTGGCCCTGGCATTTCCCAGCCCGAGCCACTCACGCCTCCACCAAGTTCAACATCGTGGACTTCATCTTGAGCTGTTCCACAGTTTCAGCAACAGCCTGCCTTATGGCCTGAGGAGAGGTTAAGATGGGACAAGGACTCAGGGATGTGCTCTTAAGTGCTTCCCAAACTTTTTTTTTTTTTTGATGTGGACCTTTTGAATTTGTTACAGTATTGTTTCTATTTCATGTTTTGGTTTTTTTGGCCACAAGACATGTGGGATTCTAGCTCCCTGACCAGGGATTGAACCCACTTCCCCTGCACTGGAAGGTAAGGTCTTAACCACTGGACCATCAACCTTCATTGAGTCTTTACTTTGTGCTGTGTGTATGGTCCTTGCCTCAGGGAGCTCATGGTCTGGTGGGGGAAGCAGACAAGTGAACAGGCAGTCAGACTCCTGAACTAAATGTAAGGGCAATAGGAGGGTCTCCTAGTTCAGTCTGGGTAACAGGAAGACTTCCTGGAGGAAGTGATGCTGCAGCTGAAACCTGAAGCATGGATAGGAGTTAACTAGGCTGAGAGGCTGGGGGCTAGCTTCCCTGGGCAGAGGGAGAGCAGGTACAAAAGCCTGGAGGCAGGAGAGAGTGCAGAGATATTAGGGAACAGAAAATAGTTCAGTTTAGCTAGGTGACCGTACAGAGTCTTCAGAGTGGGACACTGAGTAATTATACTGGGACCACGGGTGTAAGTCAGGACAGGGTGCTCCTAAGCACTGCTGGTGCGTGGCTGGGCACGAGTGTGGTGAGGCTGGAGAGTCAGGCGGGCCTTGGGCGGTGAAGGGCTATGTAAGACCTCCTGAGAGCTTGGGGAGTAACTGAGAAGTTCTCTGCAGTGGTGAGCCGCAATCTGATTCACGGCTTAGGAAAATGTCTTTAGCAGTTCTGTGGCTGGCTTTGCAGCAAGCTCTAAGAGAGGTAAAAGCCAGGGAGGCAGGGTGATTCTGCTGGTGGCGATGGGAAGGCTTCCCATAGGAGGTGTGGCCTGGGCTGGCCTGGAAGGGGCGGCCGTGTTCTAGTAGGCAGTAGGAGAGAGGAGCTCACTAGCGGAACTGAGAGCAGAGGCAGTCTCCCAGCTTTCGGAGGGGAGGAATGGTAGGGCATTCTCAGCTGAGGAGCTGCCCGCAGAGGCCAGATGGCGTGGAGACGGGCGTGTTCTGGTGAGTGTGATGCATGCCTCGGGGCATGCGTACACAGAAGAGCTATACACGAAGGATCTTAAAGACCCAGATAACCATGACGGTGTGATCTGGAGCCAGAGGAATATCAATAACCTCAGATATGCCGATGACACCCATGACAGAAAGCAAAGAGGAACAGAAGAGCCTCTTGATGAAAGTGAAAGAGCAGAGTGAAAAAGCTGGCTTAAAACTCAACATTCAGAAAACTAAGATCATGGCATCCAGTCCCATCACTTCATGGCAAATAGATGGGGAAACAATGGAAACAGTGACAGACTATTTTCTTGGGCGCCAAAATCTCTGCAGATGGTAACTGCAGTCATGAAATCAAAAGACACTTGCTCCTTGGAAGAAAGCTATGACCAACCTAGACAGCATGTTAAAAAGCAGAAACATTAGTTTACTGACAAAGGTTCGCATAGTCAAAGCTATGGTTTTTCCAGTAGTTGTGTATGGATGTGAGAGTTGGACAATAAGGAAAGCTGAGTGCTGAAGAATTGATGCTTTTGAACTGTGGTGTTGGAGAAGACTCTTGAGAATCCCTTGGACTGCAAGGAGATCAAACCAGTCAATCCTAAATGAAGTCAGTCCTGAATATTCATTGGAAGGACTGATGCTGAAGCTGAAGCTCCAATACTTTGGCTACCTGATACGAAGAAGTGACTCATTGGAAAATACCCTAATGTTGGGAAAGATTGCAGGCAGGAAGAGAAGGGGACGATAGAGGATGAGGTGGTAGATGGCATCACTGACTCGATGGACATGAATTTGAGCAATCTCCAGGAGTTGGTGATGGACAGGGAAGTCTGGCTTGCTGCAGTCCATTGGGTTGCAAAGAGTTGGACAGAACTGAGCAACTGAACTGAACTGATCTTTGGGGGGCAGTGTGGTGGGAGCCAAGGCAGGGTGGGGGTCCTTTAGAGAAAGGTGAAGAGACAGGTTTGGGCTGCCTGGGCTTGGGAGCGTTGGTCTCACTTACAAAGAAGGGTTCGTTATATGTCTTCTTCCTGAGTAGGTCAAATGTGAGTTCTTCCAGACCATGTGCCTGGATCTGTTCCAGCCCAATGGCCTTGAGCATCTGGGTGGCTTCAAAACGGTGCTGAGGGCAGACACAAAGGACAGACCACCTTCCTCATCTCCCAGCATACCCTTGTGCTGGAGCAGGAAGGGTACTAGGCAGTTAGCTTACCTCCAGGACGCTGGAACAGGACAGCTGGTCCAGGATGCTCCTGACAACTGTGGCTGAGTGCACACCCATTATCTTGACCAGCACAGTGAGTGCCTGTGGGGGTGGGCAGGGCAGGGCGGGGTATACCAGACCAAGAGGCATTTGGGTGGCCACGCGCGCTTGAGGGCTAGGACTTGCAGGAAACAGGCAGAGTCCTTTCTCCCCCCTCTTGGCCTCATGAGTGAGGGCACATGTGCACACACGTGGGTGAATGGAATATACACAGGTCTGTGTACATTTGTGCCTGTGGGACCCACAGACATTCACAGACACACAGAGGAGCCTGCGGTGCTCCCTGCCAAAGCTCCTTTTCTCTGGGATGAGGATGGCAGGGTCCAGGGCCCACCAGAGTCAGCACCGTTTCCCCGGGGCTCCCCAGGGAGCCCGGCCGCGCGCCCTCACACCTTCATCTGCTGGGTCTTCGGCCCTTGGCGCAGGCACTGCAGCAAGTGCTCGCGGGCCACATTGCTGTAGGGCCTCAGGGACCCCAAGCACAGGGCCGCCTCCGCCGCCGCCTTGTGCCCTGACTTCTTTATCAGCATCAGTAGCGCCAGCGCCAGCTTCTCTTCATCCTCCACCTGAGTCCTCTTGAGAGGGAGACAGGGCGGTTGGACTAGGTTTCTGGTCAGGCTTTGTTAGGAGGGCAATTCATGACTGCTTCCAGACCATTCTCCCTCTTCTCCAGAAGGAATCTCCTGTCAAGAGCTTAGTTTACCCACTTCCCTTCTTGCTGCCATCTGCTTGCTCCCAGCTCACATCCTTTCACTTCTCTATGACTTTTTCTTGTGGGTGGGTCAGCGTTACTCTCTTTAATACCTCTGCTGTCTCAGCTCTTGGCATTTGAAAAAAATATATGGGTCATTGACGCCTCTCCTCTCATAACCTTGTCCTCGGCACTATGTCAGTCATTAATTCCCGCAGAGAGACTTTATCGTGACCTGTTACTGCACCTTCTCTATGACTCCCTCTCCTCCTGTCCTTCTGGTTCTCCTCTGATGTCAGCAGTTATTGTTATACCTACTGTAGAGCACCGGGAAATCTACTCAGTGCTGTGTGATGACCTAAATGGGCAGGAAATCCAAAAAAGTGTGTATGGGGCTTCCCTGGGGCCCAGTGGTAAAGAACCCGCCTGCCAATGCAGGAGACATGGGTTCGATCCCTGGGTTGGGAAGATCCCCTGGAAAGGGAAATGGCAACCCACTCCAGTATTCTTGTCTGGAAGATCCAATGGACAGGGGAGCCTGGTGGGCTGCAGTCCATGGAGCTGCCAAAGAGTTGGACATGTTTTGTCCAAGTTTGTTGACTAAACAACAGCAATATGTATGAATGACTGATTCACTTTGCTGTACAGTGGAAACTTAACATTGTAAAGCAACTGTATGCCAATGAATTTTTTTAAAAGGGGTGCATTAAATAGCTTTACTTTAAACTTATTTCATTACCTGTATGTGAATATATATGTGGGTTAGTTATTCATGTATTTTTTTCTATCGTAAATTGTCTATAAAAGTTCCTTACATTTGTATAGTGTGGTCAGAGTGCTTTTATTTATTCTTATTGCTTTTTTAAAATTCTTACTGTTAATTGAATTCTTCTAAACAGGAATTGGAGTTTTTACTATCTAGTTGGCTGTTACATAAAAGATGAGTTCTTTTATGTAAGTATAGATGTACATGCGGGGGATTGTGAGGGTTTATAAAAGTACATGGTCAGATCTATCACTTAGGCATTTCCTGTTATCTCCATTGCTTTTTTATTTTTTAAACTTTTCTTAATGAAATAATTTATCTGTAATTTTTATATTCTTTACTTTCAAATCCTTATAAATAAAAATGAAGTGAATGTTTTTTGAATATTTAATGCTAATATCACTCCATTTAAAAAGTTGTTGGACTGCACAAAGACTAACTATTCATCGAGCAACTTTGCCCTCCTCCTCACTTT